TATATATACTGCCACATTTCCCCCCTAACAGATGTGGTAGTTGGATTGGAGCAGACCATATACACTGTTGCTGAGAGTGCAGGATCTGTTGAGGTTTGTGCAGTCGTTATTAACCCACCACCGAGTCAGCCCCTATCATCATCATTCACCCTCATTGCTGACACACTTGCTGCCTCTGCAGGTAAACCTTCTACGGTATCATTAAACCAACGGGTCTCAATTGACCAGTATTAACATTCGAATGTGGTAGCTACACCTTTTTTTTCAATATCCACACTCATTGTTTCCTCTATGTTGCAGTTGGTGGATCTGACTATACAGATGTCAATAATTTACTTCCTGTTTTTAACAACAACAACAGACGGAGGTGTTTCACCATCGATATTCTGGAAGACAATGTCCCGGAGGACAATGAAATGTTTGAAACCCTCCTAACCGTGGTCAGCGGAAGTGATGTAATTGTCGATCCTGCTGAGGCGACTGTCACCATCATTGATGTGGACAGTAAGTGTGTTACAATTCCACCCCCATAGAAACAAGAGAGTAAACAGTTGAGTAAGTATAATTATATAGAACTTGTATCTAGGTTTCCCATAGTTTTCCCATACTATGCTAGGCTAGTAACATTGAGATTCATAAAACGTTACGGAATTTTAATGTAGGGTACTGCTTGCATCTTAACATCTAGAGTGTACAGTTTTCTGTCTTAGGGAATGTAAATATTTTACACCCTCTGGTTGTGGTGGTGGTACCCACCATCATGTTGTATTAGGCTGGTGTGGCTTAGTAAAGTGCATTAGTCATGCAAGCATGTAAGTGCTCCCATGGATACCTTTCTTCACCAGGTTACCTCAGTTTATGATTATTAATCCGCACGTTTTGCTCCCGATCTCACACCTGGTAGACTGAAAGAACGCTAAGAGTGTGTAGTCAGAAAGAGAGGAAGAGTTGTACCAGATGATTAATTATTGTTCTGTCACAGTTCAGACTGGGTTCAGGACGCATGGGGATGGATGTATCCCAGAGGGTATGTTGCAGGAGATCTGTCTGACTACTGTTGGATCTCCTGCAGTGGATACTGTGCTAACTGTCTCTGTCACTCATGGCACTGCAGGACCTGAAGGTAAGGGGACCATGTACCATACATTTGAAAGACAAATATCTTGGAACACATGGCAAAACTTTCCCACTCCCTTTGGTGTAAAACTTTTGTGTTGGCCCTCCAACCACATAATGCCCAAATCTTCTCACTCTATAGTGACTCTTGCTGGCTATATGTAGAAGAACACTGTTTTGAATATTGTAATAATATGTGGGCATAACTTTCCGTCAAAAAGGAAAGCGCAGTGTATTGCCAAAAAGGAAGCGATGAAACGTCGAAGAACTTTAGTGACTGAACAAGAGAAATTTGCGAGAACAGAGCAAGACAGACCACGCCAAACAGAGAACAAGGGCAGCTAAACAGAGCACAAGGGCAGCTGAAACATATGACCAGATTTCAGCTCGGCGAAGAAGTGATAGACTGCGTAAAGAAACCACAAGAGCCTCTGAAACAATTGAGCAGATGTTGCACAGGCATGACGTGACAGACTGCATAAGAGCTATATATATAATACTGGATACTTCTGATACTTGAGCTATTCCATGCCGCCGAGGGTTTTGCACTTTAGTGATTTTCATTTTATGCTGTGTTTTGACCACGTATATACAGACTTCGATCTGATCACGACACAAGTGACCATCACTGAGAATATGACTGAGCCGTGTGTGAGTTACCAGGCCATAGCAGACGGTCTGGGACTGGAGGGAGTGGAGAACCTCACTCTGTCTCTGAGTGGACCTCCCAATGTACAACTGACTACTGCCTCTCTACACATCTGCATCCAGGACTCTGATGGTAAGGACTATTATAATGTAATAGGTAAGATTGACAATGATGATGATGCCCAGGCTATTTTAGCAAAGAATTAAATCACGTCGGTCTTTGACTCAGTATGCATTGCAAAGTGTAAAGCAATGTTTATGGTAGTACTGAATATTACACTTTTTTTCGAATAGGAGATAAAAATCCGCCTGTGATCATCATCATAGTAACCGTTGTGATAGCCGTGCTAGCCGTGCTACTGATTGCTGCAACCATCATCATAACAATTCTCATTGGAATTATGAGGCAGAGAAAAAAGAAACAAAGTAAACTTGCTCTCCCAACTCCAGAGCCCATCTATTATGGTCCATACTATTCTTCTGTCCTTGTCAAAACCGAAAATATAGCAAGTGCAGAGATTTCACTGCAGACACAGCCAGAGACAAGTACAAATTTAGCCATTCCTAACCAGCAGCAAGAAAGTGTTACTTCCCCTATTGAGCAGCAAGGGAATGTTGCCTATGGTGCTCCTTCGAACCAGCAGCAAGAAAATGTCACTTCCCCTATTGAGCAGCAAGAGAATGTTGCCTATGGTGCTCCTTCAAACCAGCAGCAAGAAAGTGTCACTTCCCCTATTGAGCAGCAAGAGAATGTTGCCTGTGGTGCTCCTTCAAACCAGCAGCAAGAAAGTGTTACTTCCCCTATTGAGCAGCAAGAGAATGTTGCCTATGATGCTCTCTCGAATCAGCAGCAGCAATTACCTGGTGAACAGGCTGAGGAGCAATGCTAAAGACTAAGTTTGTGAATCTCACTCTTAACTAGAGTATATAGCTTATATTACGTGTATCGATCATAGCAGATTCCTTCACCCTATGGCGTGCATTACTAGCCGTAAAGATCTTATGACGTTAGCATTATTGTAGCGAAGGTCCGTGTTAATAATTATCCCAAACTTCCAACTCGGTATAATACAAGGAGTAACACACGTGCGTTGCTTGCCACTAAATGGCAGGTAGTAGTACAGTCTACATAACTCTATCACAATACATCTCAGATAGAGAGGGAGCATTAAATAGAGTCAGCGGCCCACTTCTCAGCCGATACGCCACAAGATGTACAGCTCCTTGAACTTGTCGAACCCGGCCAGCACTCCGGCACCGGCGATACCCCTGAGGATATTGGCCCCGGCCCCTTTCATTAGCGACATGGCACCCTCCTGACGGACAATCTGTAGGAAGCAGTCCATCGAGCCCTTGTATTTGACGGCTTGGCCAGAAGTCATCATCATGCGTCGACGGATGGTATCAATGGGATAGGAGATAAGGCCGGAAGTGATGGTAACAATGTAGCCCAGAAGGAACGATGATGCGACACCGGCATTCTCACCGAGCAGTATTGGCTTCAGACTGTCATAGAACCCAAAGTAGCAGCCTCGGTACACAACGATCCCGACGCAGGAAATGAGGAAGCCTCGGTAGAGTCCCACGAATCCGTCCGATTTTAACGTTTTGGAGTAGACGTCGACGAGTCCGTTGAACTGCCGCTCGCCGCCACCCTTCCCCGCGGCCTTGGCGTCGTTGGCGAGACGAGTACGGGCGTAGTCGAGCGAATACACGAAGCAGAGAGAGAGGGCACCCGCAGCTCCACCTGCCGCAATGTTCTTGCTGAAGGAGACGACGTACGAGTCACTTTTGCTGGACTTGAAGATGATCTTGATCTTGTCCTTGAAGGCAAAGTTGAGGGCCTGTGTGGGGAAATACCGGATGCAGTTGGCCAAGTTTCCTCTCCAGAATGGCAGGATCCCTGGAGAATAGTGCGGGAGAGAGGGGAGGGGGATAGGAGAGAAAGAGAGGGGTGGGGTGGAGGGAAGGAGTGAGGACGAAAAAGGAAGAGAGCAAGAAATCAAGAAAAAACAGGATCATGACATACTTTTTCACAGGAACCAAGGAGATACTAGACACCCCATAGCTATCTACTCATGCAGGCACTAACAGCATTGTGTTATTGCTGGCAACTACAGACAATCACGTACATCCAAGGATACACACAAATCACTCCCCCTTCACTCCCTCACAAAATCTCATTGAGCACACTGGCCAAGCTATGTATGTAATGCGCACTACATATATGTACAGTTGACCTGCTGAGCTCATCTACAAAGAAGTGCATACAGGGGACCAATAGCCCCCAGTACAAGCTGGGACTGAAAGAAGTGTTGTCGTCAGTACAACTGGCCGGCTCATAGCTAAAGGAAGGAGAGGCATTCGTGGCTTTGTCTACACTTGTTACACAGCCTCGACGAGTGTCGGAAACACACTCGAGAACAAGTGAACGGTTGGAAGAATGGATACACTTCACACACAAGCACAAGTCTCATCCCTGGGTAATCTACTATACTGCCATAATTTAGAGTCGCATCCCCCAATGTGCAGAAAAAATAGAATGGGGCACTCTTGGTGGTGGGAATGTATATACAGCAGATGGTTTTCTAAGAATTTTTCAAGGGAGGGAAGACATTTTGGGTGGATTGGAACAGGTCCTGCAGCCCATAAAGCTACACCCCAGGGGACAAACACACATGTTCCAGCTATGGATTCACCCCCTCCACATCTTACAATACACCCTCAGCACTTCATCGCTTTCCACACATTCTCCACTTTCCCCATTCTCACAAGAAAACTCCTCACATCTACTCAACTCTCCCGCCCCCTTATACCCAACCTTCCTCCAAAAACTATGCACATCCCCCTCCCTTCTCTTTCTCTTAACCACACTTCCACTGTACCCCACATAACTACTACAGGTATACACTACATACAAACCTTCGGTCCTGTAGGTTCTGAGGGTACAGTCAATGACTCCCTTGTAAGGCTCCGTGATGCGACCTTGTTTCAACATCTCGTCCTGGTTCTGAACGAGGAGCTTCACTCTCTCGATGGGGGCTGCCGCAGTCTTGGAGATGATGGCTGCCACACCACTGAGACCAAAGTTCTCAGCGAACCCCAACTTCCGGTGTTGTTTCTTGTCTGACATTGTGTCTGTGGGAGAGGAGAGGAGAGAGAAAGAGAGAGAGGAGAGATGGCAGTAAAGAGTATTCAAAAGGGGCGTGCTAAGGGGGCGTTACCTAGCCCTACATAGAACTATGGGATGCTTCTGCAGATGACGGACAACAGTTCTAACAGTAGAACTAGCATGGAAGCCGCCATCAAATCAAGACACTGCCAAACACATTCTACTCTTACTGTACATACACGAATATAATACGGCCGCCAAAACCGGAATTAGTAACGGTCAAGCAAGAGCCAAATAAGAAGCGCTCGTACTGCAGCGGCCTATAGTTGATACTAACGACTCACCAGAAGTCAATGGAGGCAAACTGGAGGAGAAAGTGACTGTGGACGATGGCCAAAAGGAGAGGAAAGGGAAACGGTTGCCAACCGGACGCCAAGTGAACGCGACACGCGGTCAGAAAATCTAAAGAGGGCGTGTACCCATGGAAACGTGCTAGTCATGTGATTACATGAAATATACCGTATATCTAATACAGCGAAGAGCAAAATTTCGAGACTTATTAATAAACCGCATGCGCTATTTCTCATTTAGCAGAAAAATAATGGTGTATATACAATTATAGATTTATTTTTACAAAAAAATACAACTAGAACGTAATTTTATAGCTACGTACAAAAATTACAGTAACTGTAGCACTTATTATAACTAAAAAGTAAACCTTAGCGTAAAGTATACATACAATAATTACGTCTACATATTACATAAAATTAATACGTACTTATAATAGTTACTGCCATTACTTAAATTTTACTTACGGTATTTAAAAGAGTACACAAAAGAAAAAAAAACAAGATGCCTGAGAGGAATAATTGAAAAGAGATAACAAGAGAAGTTTATTTGTTACAATTTGTGGTATTACATGTAATCATCATGGATATGCTGTTCCACTTGTGGGCTCCTGAAAGAAGAAAAAGAGGTGGAGTGGGGGGAGAAGGAAGAAAAAGAGGTGGAGTGGGGGAAGAAGGAAGAAAAAGAAGTGGAGTGGGGGGAGAAGGAAGAAAAAGAGGATTAAAACAACTACATAATGTATGAGGTTGCGAAAGCACAACCACAATAAGGCATACACTAGCTGTCAAACTAGTGTCTCGAAATCAATTATGTACTAAATGTTTCCACCCAAAAAAGGTTTGCTAATGCAATTATCCGCGTGGGGTGATGTCGCTAAAACCAAGAGCTAACAATCCGCGAAAGGTTTAGTTACAATATGTGAAGTGCTGGGAGGAAAGAAACTTATAAAACTCAAAACACTACCATAGAATGTCTACATGAGGAAAGAGGGGTGTCTCAGTAAGTCACAGAGAGTAGGCATGGGCAACTGAAAATCTCGTCTGCAAAATTCCCCGAAACATTCAATATTACACTACAAAAGTCATGGTTACGCCGTATTAATGATGGAAGGTTGGTCATTGAAATCTACCTCGTTAGTGGGGGCGGAGCTTCCTTGATGATGGATCTGGTTCATGAGACTAACGAGCTCTTGCTTCATTCTTTTCTTTTCCGTCAGCTGTCGTTTCTTGGACTTCTCGAAGGCATCCACGAGAGAGCTGTTTTGTCGCCACAGGTCCTTCACAAACCCCATCAGATCTTCACTCACACTCTGTGATGAGAGAGGAAGGGGGAGAGTTAAGGAGGGAGGGAGGGAGGGAGGGAGGGAGGGAGGCAGAAAGGAGGTGAATGGTTAAGCATTCCAACCACAGTGTACACAAAGATAACCAGCCCAATGGTGCCTATTTCTGAACTATCCAAGAGGGCACCCAAGGCGGTCTTATGTACGTATGTAGTTTCCATATGAGGTGCCTTGCTCATAGCTATGGCATCGGGTGTGTGCAATCCAAAATTTGTGCAGCAGAAACGGCAAACGAGTGCTGCTTTCTCGTTAGGAAGTCGAGCGAGAGGCCGATGGAGGACGTCGCCGTCGACAACGGGCTTGCTTTGACCGGAACCTTTGCAAAAAAACTGGCGGAGTCTGCCAAACGTGCCGCGCCAAATTCAGAGTCGTGAAAACTTGCTCTATGTGATTCAGAGGTTCGTGCATCAACCAATCAGACTGTGTGATTTAAATTACCAAGCTCTAAACACCAATTCACTACCTTACTACCTATTAGCATAATACATTTTCACTCTCAAACTTTTCCTATATCTCCAACAGCATTAGTAGGCAAAGCTCCCTCACATGTGACTCTTTGGCGTGGTAGTTGAGAAACTGGAAGAGGTCTTCGTATCTTCTCAGCAGCTCTCTCTCTCTGTCCATGCTGGCTTGCAGCTGGGCCCACAGAGGCTCGTGGGACTGAGCCTGCAACTCCTGGCAGACGAGAGGGAGGGAGAGAAAGATGAGAGAAAGACAGAGCAAGACGGCTTATGAATTAGAGTTCTAGACCAATATCATCGAGTAGAACAAATGACAAACACTCTGATTGTACAGTACAGTATAAGTACATACGTTACGGCAATGTTAGATATCAGCAGGGTGCCCATAATCATAAAATACCACACTATTCATTCCCCACACATGTAAGATTCACAGTGTTGTACATAATATAGTTGGGAAAAGATGGATAGTTTTCGGAAGACAACTTACTCTTCTTGCCATCTTCTTTTCTCTCTTTCTCTTCCTCCTCTCCAGTTGGAACGTGAGCTCTGCAATGATTTTGTCGTTTTTCTGCTTGTTGAGTAACATTCTGGAGACTTCGAGTTCCATTCTCCGCTTTTCTTGATCCATCATGTATATCTGAGACTGGAGGGGAGAAGGGAGGGAGGGAGGGAGGGAGGGAGAGGCCGGAAAAGGAGGGAAGAGATAATAAAGAGAGTTACTAGAGATAAGGAACTGATATTATTGGGCTGCTGGTTGCACCTAAATAATATAGGGCCCATGGTTCCACGTAGTGAGTGTGGCATTAGACGCAGACATAACCAACTTGCAGAGCTCGACACTACGACTTATAGGCTGTGTTCACAATAAATGTCTCATTGCACCCGTCGGCCATCCTCGCAACGCGGCAAAGCGCAGCTGAATAATGCGACACATTGTGAGCCTAGCCTTACCCTCAACTCTGCCTTTTCTTCCCGGACTTTACACAGCTCCTCTTGGTTTGCGGCGTCCTCCAGGTCCATTATCTGCCCACCGTGTCCCGGAGGAAGACAGTCCTTCACCAGCTCCCAGTTCTTGACCACCTCCAGCCCGTGGAGACCGTCCACGCTCTGCAAAGTGTCCGTGTAGTGCTTCTTGCGGCGGATGAGCGCCTGGATGTAGAGCCTGAGTCGATCGATTTCGTCTGGGGTGATGTCTCCCTCTAGTCCTCCGCTCATGGAACTGAGGCCACTGGTGGTGCCAGTGTTCTGAGAGCCGCCCCAGATAGCCGTCGTCAAATTGGTTCCGTTTGGCGGGCGTTGTTTCACGGGGAGGTAGCTCTGGAGCTGTGCGTCAGAGTCGAGGGAATGGAGGAGGTTTCGCGCACGGAGGATGGCGTGTGAGCGACCGGAGGACGAGGCTGATGTGGATGAGTGGTGCTCCCGATCGGGGCTCCGAGTGGACGATTCGAGACTGCAGGAATTGAAGGAGGGGAAAAACTGTGGGTTACGGCGATCCATGACGCGCAGCTCAAGGAGGACTTCGTAGATTTCGCAGGCTTGGTAGCAGTGCTTGAGTGCGTGAAGTAGCCGTGTGTTGTTTGCCTCGACCTTCTGCGCATGACTGTACATGCTCTCCATATTGCTTTTGGCGTTCTCGAACGAGTTTGCCAGCATCGTGTTCTTTGCTTTCAGGTGCTTTATCTGGCTCTCCAGGTGCTCGGCGCGAACCCGGAATTCTTGCGCGCTTTCTCCTGGCGTTCCGACGCCGTACGATACGAGGCATTTGATGATCTCTTGTATACTGTGGCAGTTCTGGAGTGCGTAGATGAGGGCCAGCTCTGTTTCGTTTGCCAGATTGTCGGGGAGCTGAGAGAGGAGGGAGGGAGGGAGGGAAGATAGCATGTCATGTGCAGCATGTATATTTCTCATTCTAACTGCCACAATGAACACTTAATTATGTATAAACTCGATTGCATGTCGGTTGTTCCATAGTACAACTCCACTATTTCTTACTATTCTACAATCAGATATTCATGGCAAGATTTAACCCCTTACTTTTTGAATGTTTATTAATCCCTTGCTAATTGTGATAGTGCCTGTTACGTATTTAACCCCTGGCTCACCACACTCTTGCTGACATCCTCTCCCATCACCATGAAGACCTGGGACTGCTCGTCAGGTGTCGTGGTAACCAACGGCAACCCTTCTCCCACCGACGACACGTCCGAGTAGGTCCCCGATCGCTATAGCAACAAAGAACGTTTAAACATCATTCATTTTTGACAGGTCATGTTTCACAAAAATCATTGAGATCAAACAGAGCAAAGGCCAACAACACAACGACACCCAACAAAACCAGAAAGGAAAATAGAGCTGCCATGGGTCAGATTCGAACCCATGACATTCTGCACTCCAGGCAAGCTGCTGAGCTACTAGGGCAACTCAGCAGGCATACAGACACAGCGTAAGGTCACATGACACTCACATGAGTCTTGGCCTTGGGATAGGCGCAGTCTTCTTTCTGTGGTTCGTCGTGGGTGTCGAGGACCTGGGCACTGGAGGTCTTCACGATCTCCAGTCCTCCTCTGTTGCTCTTCCGAGACCGGGACTCCCTCGCTTCTCCCTTCCCACTGCCTGCAGGGGAGGCACACCGGGGGTTAAGGGAATACGGCAGTACACATGTATGTAGAAACTGTTACTAGAAAAGGAAATTTAATTGCATTATTGCACTGGGCCCCTACTGTTTAGTTGGAAACAGGGGGTGTGTAATGGTGTGAATGTGTGGCTATATAGTGGCTGGTAATTCCCCCGTTCCTGGCTGTATACATATGCAACAGTCACATAAAATTGTGGCAACATGCATAGCAAAGATCCGGAGAGCTACAAAATATACTGTTGTTGTAGCTGGAATTAAGTAGTAACTCATTGTCCCCAGGCATTTTCATACCAGGATAGTTTATAAGTATGAATGAGATTTGAAGAGGGGTTTAAAACCCTTTCCACGCGACTAATATACAAGCATAAACCATGTACAAAGTATTAACGCCTAGTATTAAAACCTCCATACAAAATCCTGCTGCTTATGGAGACAATGGACACATTTATGTGTCCTTGGCTGGTTAAGTGTTAAAGGTAGTTGTAAGTGAAAGAAAAGACAGTACTGTTACCCAACAAGCATACTGACCATGGTAAGTGCTCCTCAGGGCAGACCGCTGGAAACCAAGTTCACTGGGTCTGTCGTCGGTAGTGCTGTTGCCGGGACGACGACCTCCAATTAGAGCCCCCCTCTCCAGCTCGATGACTCGGAATCTCAGTTTATCGACTTCACTCATGAGCTGCCAGTTTTCCCTCTGCTGACTTTCATGCTGTGATGAGAGGGGGGGAGGGAGGGAGAGAGGGAGGGAGGGAGGGAGGGAGTGGGGGAGGGAAGAACTATTATGCTTGGAATAATGTCGTCTTCTATTCTCATCTGTTTTCTCCTTTCATTCATTCTCTGTACAGTGTGAGGTAGTCTACATTAAAGCCCCATGGCTTACAATTGTGTGTGGATTTTACGAGTCATAAATTGCAAACTCTCTAACGACACTTATTTCAGATACACAGGGAGAAAATGGAGCAAGTGACAAATGCACAAATAGCGCTGAACAGGTAGCTACTAGCGTGCACACGAGATGGGAAAATACCAACCTTTGCTCTGAGATGTCTGCACTCTTTCTTGTAGGTCCTCAGGTCCATTACTGTCTCCCTGTTTCTGCTGAGATCTATCTCCAGCTCTGAGATTGTTCTTCTCATTTCTTCAATTTGCCCTGTGGAGAGAGAGGGAGAGGGAGAGAGAGAGAGAGAGGGAGGGAGAGGGAGAGAGAGGGAGAGAGAGAGAGAGAGAGAGAGAGAAGGAAGGAGGAAGGAAGTACGGTGAGATATCATATCGACATAATTATATACATGGAAAACTTATGGAAAGTCTGAAGCGAAGTTACGAACGGCCGGGTACACAAGGAGGAGAGGCTGAATGCAAAGTGGAGGAGGACACCCAATGATTCAAACTCGATCAATTAATCACATTCCTCGAATACCCGGAATTCTGAACGAGGGTGTTAGTTGGCGGGCAGCAGCTGGGGCCGAAGTCCGGCCACACACAGACTGGCGGGTGGGAGGGTCCGCGCGGGGCTTGTTGCCGAACACGACTGCATAGCTCTCGCATTAGCACACGTCGCCGAGGAATGCACATGTATATCGCGATCTGCTGCCCTCGGTGCGTATTTTTCCCCATAGGTATATAAGAAGTGAAGCCACAAAGCCTTTTTATGTTAGTAAAAGTGTGGGCTGTTTATTTTCACATGTGCTGCACCAATGGATCACGCATGTGTATAAAGAGTCCAGCATTATAGTGAAAATAGTACAGAGCCCTTGTATCTGTATTTCTGACTAGAGTATTACCGAGAAACTCGATACGTCTGTCTTAGTCACTAAGAAATATAGAACCCTTTTAAGCCCTTTTTTCTCTTCACGTTTTTAAGCACACATATTATAAAGAGTCCAGCGTAAGTGAAGTTACAGTGCTTATAGCTAGATAGTACATCAAGTGCGATGTATTTGATGTACATGCTTGGCGGAGGGCCTTACCCGAAAATTGCATGCTTATTACGAAAAGGATGTCAAATAATTGTGGATAACAAGGAACGTTATGTGACCACATATGTTGCTTATTTCCGGGCCGAAATTAGGAAAATTGCCAACCTACCAACTCTAAATTAGGAAAATCTCCATTGGTTAATTTTCAAGGCCCTAGTTCCATTCATGCCAATCAGCCTTGCCTACAATACCAGACATGTACTACTGTACGTCATAGGATGAGGTATACACACTCTGTGCCTAATTTTGCTTAATATGGGGATTTGCAAGCTGCAGTACTTTATATGCAGTAGGTCAGAAATCACTTCCAAGAAAATTGCTTTTCTGACAGACAGACACCTGGAGGATGAGTAGTTACTCCAACTAACTTCCCACAGTACATTAATATTACACTCCTATACGTTAGGGGTGCTAATTGTGCCATGCAGCTATAGAGAAGTAATGAGAGAGGTTGCAATGTAGCCAGTGCCACAAGGAGCCAAGCCGTTCCCTCAAAATCATCTTTTATTCGCACAAAAATTCAAGTGGAACAGATGCACCCGAACTACATACGTTCAAAACTACACAAAGAAGATATATTACGAATTTCATGGGGGGCCACACGTTGTGGCACTTTCCAGTAATACAAGTGTAGGAAGGAGAGGGAGGGAGGGGAGGGAGGGAAGGAGAGAACGGAAGAAGATGGAGGGAGGGAGAAGGGAGGGTAAGGGGTTCAGTTACGCAAGGTCGAACCACAAACATGCTCGGGTTACCATGGAAATCTGACCTCCCTCGGTGATCAACAAACCCTGATACGTAGTAATTTCAATAAACACCACCCTATTACCCTAACTACGTCAGTATATAGTCTCCAACGCTATATTGACACGTTATGCCAGTCACATCGTATTACCCAATTACGTGCCAGTAACAAAGTACTAAAATGTACTATTACTAACCGTTTAAGTTACACACACATGTAGGTTATTATACTTTGGTGTGTAAGTTACTCATAGTGTTAAAGTTACACATCTATATGCACTGTGTGTGTAGGGCACTGCATATAATGGTATGATGTGTATGTATATCCTGTTTGTGAGATAAACAGCTTTAGTACCATTACAGGACATATAGAGGGATGTATTGTATAATATTATATACCAGACCTGTTGTCGTCGTGTGTGTCGAGTGCTCTATACACATGTATTGGCACTGTCTTTTGACTGTTACAGTGAATTACATCGTGACCCAAACGTGCTCAACGACCCACGCAACACTCAATGTCAAATACAATTACATCGAATCTTGAAAAACAGGAAAGTATTGGCAAGCAAAGCATGCACACTCTCTCTTCTTCTTCTTCCTCCCTCCCTCCCGCCTCCCATCGCTCATGGCAGACTTACTCTCGAGTATTCTGCTGTCAATGTCGTGCTCTGATGCTCTGTCCTTCTTCTTCAGTTCTTGTCTCAGTCTTTCGTTGTCTCTTAGCAACTGAAATAACAATGACATCATCGTCATACATAATATGTACTTTTTAGACAAACAGCTTGATGCTACAGAATTTTTAAAGCATTTTTAATGAAAAGGACTGGCGGAAAAAGTGGGAGAACTTGGAATGTGGCAGTGCATAAGGGCTAAATTTAGAAATGTTACTAAAGATAGAACAAAACACTAGGGACACAGTGAAAGAATGCAATTGAGTTCCGTTCTTTTAGTAACATTCAGCCCTTATTATACTTCCACATTCCCATTTTGGGGAAAGAACAGTTAGTTTTTTCTAAGAGTGAAATGATGGGCAGCTTACACTGGTGTACTGGAAGTCGCTGTTTTGAGCAGCTCTCAATTCTTTTCTCAGCCCCTCGTTTTCTTTCTCCAGTCTGGACACCTTCTCCTGCATGTCGGGCGTTGACTGGTGGTGTTTCTTAGGGAGAAGGAGGGAGTGAGGGGAGGGATAGAGAGAGAGTGAGAGTGAATAATCAGAGTTCATATTTACTAGATAAAAATGTCGATCTAATGCTTACAGAACACAACATCAAGTCACAGTTATTTCGTGAAGTTATTTTAATGTGTAACACATTTTACTCCAGCGAGATGCACATAATGGCGAAATGACGGCTTTATAATGCCTGTCTGTGAGACTCATTACACATCATTTCAACAGTTGACATAAAACTAGTGGTACTTACTCTTTCTTTGCTCTTTTTCGAGGCTCCCGAGGGATTTCGATGAAACGATGCTTCGTGATCGCTGTCTTCTGATTCGTCGCCGTGGACACTCCTGGCTAGAGAGCGTTGTTGCTGGGGACGATGTGAGGAGGAGGAGGGGGTGGAGGAGGGGGGAGGGAGAGGGGATTCAGCACCACGCGTGTAGTCCCAGTTACGCGAGGATCGAGACGGTCGCTGTTCCTCTGGTGACAACATGAACTGCGTGAAGGAGGCAAAAGGAGAGGAGAATAGAGAAATTGATTAAAAAACACAAACGACAGGTTTTAAAATAAGGCTGCATAAAATTGCCCCAGTCAAAACAAATGGTAATGGAGAGGGAGAGGGGGGAGTAGGGGAGGGAGGGAGGAAAGATGACATAACTAAACCACCACCGAGATATCGCTTAGACTGAGTGTAGTCCATGTTTGAATGGTCTGCAGCGTGCGTGATTGGCAACAACGTGTAGACCTTCAGGACCTTCACTATAGAACTGCCTAACAACACACCTCCGTGTCGCAGACAGCCTGAACATGTAAAGTTGGTCATTAATACCGCAGTTTGTTGGCGCAGTTGAGACTGTATCAGATGGTGTTTACCAGCCACCAAGTGGAGGAGAGAGGTGTGAGGATGAACCAATAGTCATACATTTGCAGCGTGCGCGATTGGCAACAACGTGTAGACCTTCAGGACCTTCACTATAGAACTGCCTAACAACACACCTCCGTGTCGCAGACAGTCTGAACATGTAAAGTTGGTCATTAATACCGCAGTTTGTTGGCGCAGTTGAGACTGTATCAGATGGTGTTTACCAGCCACCAAGTGGAGGAGAGAGGTGTGAGGATGAACCTATAGTTCATACATTTGTCACACGACACACACACACACACACACACACGGCAGCTAGCCCTCTCTGTCAACACAACACACCAGTTAACTGACATATTCAGGATTTTCACACGGAAAAAGTTACATAGATTCAGGCAGCATTTTTTTCCTAGGTTTTTGGGTGGAATTAGTTAGCCCATACAATTACACGTGGTCATTGGTCAAGAGAAGGGGGGCTAGGCAGGTTATTGGGGGGAGGGGGTGAGCAAAAGGAGAGAGAAAATAATCTCAGAGAGTTCATAATTTAGGGTTTACCACCGACAAAAAAATCTAGGATTGTGAAGGCAAAATTCGTAAATTTTTTCTCCCAAGAACATTTCCTGCTGTGATAATTGTACACTCCTACACATGAAGCTACAGACAAGGGGCATCGAGTCACAAGACCAGATACCACTACGGACCAACTGTAGTGACTGGTGATGCGGTGGTCAGATAAGACACACCGCAACTGCCTTCGTTGGAATGTGTGGCCAGAGTTAAAATAGCAGACAGAGAGGGGGAGGGAGAGTGTGTCTTCTTATTCTACCACAAAAAGCTGTGCATTGAAACCCTCCTTGAAGTGCGAGAGCGAGAGAGAAAGAGAGAGAGAGAGGAGAGAGAGAGAGAGTGAAAGAGAGAGAGAGAGAGAGAGAGAGAGAGAGAGAGAGAGAGAGAGAGAGAGAGAGAGAGGAGGGTGGGAGGAGAGAGGTGCAGATCCTGCAGAAACCGATATCCTTGTGCTCAGTGCATGGGTAGATGTACGGTAGTCTGTGAGACCGGGGTGGGTGGTATCAGATGTGTACACAACACCGCCAACACCAACGTATCATAATGCCGGGATTGTATGAAGCCAGTCTGCCTCCACACATCCTCATCACTCAACAGTACATTATAAAAGGGATCAAAGGGTAATAACATGGATGCTCCTCAGGCTGTGATATGTATGCAACCACCATCAAAATTCTATAGAGTACACCATTCTGAGATAGTTGGGTGCCAAACCCATAGCCCTGGTCCCATAGAGCGTACTGTGTATTGAACTATAATTGCATTTTTTTCTTCTATTATAGTATATATTTTGAAGAGCCTGTTAAACGGAGCATCGATAAATTTTATGAGCACAAGAGCAGTGTTTAGCCAGGAGGAAATAATTATTATGTGATGATGTAAGAGAGAGAGAGAGAGAGAGAGAGAGAGAGGAGGGTGGGAGGAGAGAGGTGCAGATCCTGCAGAAACTGATATCCTTGTGAGAAAAAAAAGCTATTTGTAAACATCTAAATAATGTGGGTTTGGGATAGGCCATGCGGAAATTATGAGATCAAGATTTTTGGCTCAATTTCTCTGTTTTCGATAATTTTCATTCTGCAGTTGATTAGCTGCTTTAGCTGCATACCAATCATCGCATGGACTTTAGATCAGCCTTTACATATCCATGCAGCATTACTATAGCTCAGGGTTGAGGTCAGCAAATACATTTTCAAGGGGAGCTGTAGTACCTTCCACTTTTTTTCACTGTAAGAGCACTTTATTATTATTAACTAGTTGTTAGTAAGCATTTCCACGTAAGGTACACCAAAGAAACACAAAATAGAGGAAACACTCTACTTTTGCACACACTCTATCAACAGCTCAGTGCAAGATACTCACAAATAGCAAGCAGTGGCCAGCAGCCAGCACAGGTAGTTCAGTTACAAACATATACAAACATATACAAACAT